AATTACCGACACAACTACGTCGGTAATTCGGCATCGATTACTAGGAGTGTGAATTCCAAGGTGATTACTGACGTGAGTTTGCGTTGGTAATTTAAAATAACAATTTTTTAAAAAATCTTACCGATGCAAATCTTGCGTCGGTAATAGAAAAATGTGATTACTGACGCAACTTTGCGTCAGTGCTTTTAATATTTTGAAATTATTTTATAATAATTATTTTTTTATAGTTACAATACATTACCGACACAACTATTGCGTCAGTAATATTTTATTTTCTTTTTATTTTGTTACTGACGCAACTTTCTGCGTCGGTAATATTTAACCGAAATTTACTAACGCAAATTTTTCATCGATAAATTTCTAATGATTTTTGACGCGTTTTTGCGTCGATTTTGTGTCGGTAAGTTTTCAACGCTTTTTGTGCGTCAGAAATATTGTCTGTATTCCGACAAAATATGTTGCATCGGTAAATTTTGCCACTAATTCGCCATTTTCTTGTAGTGATTCAAGCACCTTTGGATTTACTTGTCTTGTACAAGTTGTAGATGAATTTTTCTTCATATTATGGTATTGATGTAGCCATGAATGCTACCACACAATGCAATTTTGGTCTCCTAAACCACTGAAATCTCTTCTAATTCTCTCTGTCTTCCCCTCCCTAGCCCCCTTCTCTCTCTCTCTCTCTCTCTCTCTCTCTCACACACACACACACACACACACTCTGTCTCTCTGTGACACGTTTGTTAACTTGTCTTCTAAATCTTCTATTATGTACGGTAAGATCGATTGTAAAGTAGTTACGTTGTATTTTGACACAAAGCCTCATTATCAAGCATCAAGGAAGCTTGAGCTAGTATCTCAAAATTTTCGAAATCATGATTATTAAATATCTGAAATGGCTGAATTTCAAAGCAAAGTTTTATTCTTTTTAGAGTTCATAATTTCAAAATTAGTGTGCCATATGGTGGTGTGTCTCCAAGTTGCTTCGCAAAATAAACTTGGCTGCCATAATGTTCTATGCCACATTATGTTTAATCTAAATTACTGAAATTACTATTAAGACTCTTTGGGTAAAAAGACCATGACAAGAAAAGAAGTTATGCATTTTTAACTAGCATTTAGAGAAAGGTTCCATACATTTTTTATATTTTTGTTTCAATATGCATCTAATAATTCTCTCTTCACATTAAATACAAAGACAAAAAAGTATAATTTAAGAATACAAAATTTTTCCAATTTTTTACAAAAATTGGAAAGAATTTTAAATATGCAGTTCTAAATGAATGGAGGGGAGAGAGAGAGAGAGAGAGAGAGAGAGAGAGAGAGAGTGTGTGTGTTGTGTGTATTAAAAGGCTACATTAGTAAATTTTACATGTATAAAGAAAGAGGTGACATATGAGAATATAAATTTTGCGAGAAAATAAAAATAGGGAGATAGGGGAAACTAGTGAGGCTACAAAGGGGGGTTCCCCACATGGAAAGTGAAAGTTGACAGAAAGAAGCAGGGACAATTAGGATCATTGGAAATGTGGGAAGGTGTTCATTTTAGTGAAAGAGAAAGGACATGGTATAAAGTGAGCCAGTTTGTGCACATGAGCATCTTACGCATTACTCCACTCCCCCTCTCCCAAGACATTGAAAAAAGAGAGAAAAAAGAAAAAATGAAACAACAACATAGAACAAAGGGAGAAGATGAGAGGAGCGTCATCATATATATATAGTTGGGTATGTATGTTTACCAACTTAGTTTTTTTTTTTTTTTTTTTTTGGTCAATCATCACCTACCTAGTGTCATGACGTAGACTACGCATTTTATTTTATTTTACGTTTTTTTTTGGGGGGTAGTTTTTTTTTTTTTTTTTGGGTCAATCGTCACCTACCTAGTGTCATGACGTAGACTATGTATTTTTTTTTATTTTACGTTTTTTTTTTTTTTGGGGGGGGGGAGGGGGGGGGGGCGTGTGGGGAATGGGAGAACATAAGTAATGGTGCAATAGATTAACCGGAGCCCATCAAATGCTGCCCCACAATGAGGCCAAATAATTCAGCAGGCTACTGGGCAAAGTCTTGGGTCTGAATCGAAGTTGGACCAAAACTCCACACTATTCTAGGGAAAGGGTGTTCGGCAGAACGATCGGGTTCGAAGTTCAAAGAAATAAACAGAACTCATAGAGTATGTAGAGTAAGGGTTTTCAAAACTTCAAAATGTAAGCTCTCAAGGCAAGCGAAGGAAAAACCTATTCTCTCATACCCGACTCGTTGAAAAGTCCAAACTTGACAAGGTGATTTGTACAAGAGTTGTTCTTTCGAATATAGTTTATCCCTAGTTTGTGTTGAACTTTTAGGTTTAAAAATTCATTTTCTTTTGAATTACACAGGAGGGAGATGCCAGGCCTTGAACCTTGGTAATAAATTTAAGTTTTAACGTTTCTTACCAACTGAGTTAGATTTAACAGTTTTCAAAGCTTCAAAGTTATTTATCCACCTAAATCAAAATTTTTAATTTACCGAAAACCTCGTAATTCAACCGTCAATATCGGTAAAAGCCTCTATCGGGCAAACCTAAAACAAAAGAGCATTAGACGGGAATTCCATTTAAGAAGGATTTGGATTTTGTGTTGGAAGGTAACGTACATATTGGCCATACGTTAGAATACAGAAGGGATGAACTGGCAGTGGGAAACAACGGAGGAAAGCAGCAGTTAAGTTATTGTCATAATCTAATGCTGCATTATCTTCCATTTGTCGGACTTCTGATTGGAATTATTCTTGTGTCATTGCTTGTGGATCTCAGAAATGGCGTGCAAAATGGCCGTCTGTTAGCACTGATTTCGTTGTAAAGGTTTGCATGATCAAACTTCCAAGCAAAACGCTTTGTTGGTATAAACGTCCGTACGGATTGTTCCTGCCGTCTTCAACTCCACACAAGACGGAAGAAGAACCTGTTAATGCTAAATCCCATTTCGCTACATGACACATGGATTAATGCAATGTTAATCACCCAAATTGGGGGTGCACTCACAATTTTCGTAATTAAAATCACATGTTTAAGCTCTAAATTTTTAAGGTCTAAAATTCAGATTATAAAATTTTAAAGTCCTAAATTTAGACTTTTAAAAATTTTTGAAATTAAAAAGAAATAATTTTTGGATTTTAAAACTCTTCGTCACTCTTGTTTGATTGTGAAATTTAGGTTAGTTGGATTTTATTTTTTCCGGGGACGGGGGGTTGGTGTTTGGGATCATATTTAATTAGCTGGAACTAGTTGGTATTAAAGGAGTCGTGCAGGGATTCAGGTAAGGACCAGCAAGAAAATACCTTTCAACCGGAGAGACCCTTCATTATATTCTGCTAATGAAGAGAAGTCAAAAATATATACGTGGTAGATATTTGGAACATGAAATTTTCGAGGGAAAGAAAATGAAATGAAAATGATGTTTGTTGTTTTTATAAATCTCAGTCTACCAAAAGTACCAAATTTTTAGCGTATTTATGGAATATTGGTCCATTTTTCCCCAAAAAAAAAAAAAATCTTATCTTAAGAAATGAAAGTCAATTAAAAAATAATTTTACAACTCAGAAAATTGGAAAATTTTTGTTAGAAACCAATTTTCAACTAGATCTAGACAAGAACGTTTCCTAGTTGTTAAAATTTTCTATTAAAATTTAAGTAACTCGAATACTGGTTTAATTTAGAACTACTTTACTAAATTATAACTCAATTCTTTCTTATAATTTTTCTGATTGATTAACTTTTTAATTTAATTCTTTCTTATAATTTTTCTAATTGAGCTTGAATCATGTTATTTAGGTGGATCTGCTTGGTTATTGTTCGTGCTATTAAAAAAAATATCAATCATATGATAGTTATTCTTAACTTTGACAATGGTAAATTATTATAAATTTACAATTTTATTGTATAATATTGGGATTTTTGTCTATCATACTTATTTTGATTCCTTTTTATAAGGTTTTCCATTGTATTTATAATAATTATACTGCATAGTTAAAAAAAATGTCAGAACGTCTATTTTTCAATTAAATAAAGAAAAAGAAAATTATGATCTCAAAACAGACGCTAATGAAATTCTAAAATGCCGCAGGAAATGGTGTTTTCCACGAACAAAATATTAACACATATAATTTCCCATGAGATAAAGTAACTTCAGAAAGGATCACAACAAAGAAGTCTCTATGGATGTGACCAGCAGCCCATGCATTGGCCTACCCGAATCTGCTCCGGTCTATTCCCCGAGTCAATTCAAGGACCAGCCTGTCACCGCTACCATTACTTCCTCAAATTGGTTCTTATCAAGCCACTGGAAGAGATACTCCTATATAGTCTGTATCTCAGCATCTGCATTTCTACACTAACAAACCTAGCAAGCATACATCGGACAGTCTAGAATTCATGCTCCATTACAACTCGGTTATCAAAAGGATTAGGTTGACCTATTGATTTCTAATTCTTAAAACAATAAAAAGAATTCACCAGCAACAACATGCGGCAAACCCAGTTCACATTTTACAAATCCTGCATTGCAAATATGTAGGTATTTTTAATGCCATTGTCAGACCAAGCGCATACATGCGTTAAAAAATTTGTACCGCACTTGCTAATTGTCAATATCATTTCTAAAAGTCCATCTGCCGTATATAATTGTAATTAGTTATTGGTAACTCTCTGTGACCGAGAGACAGAGAGAGAATTTTATATATTAGTGGATGGCTAGATACAGCCGGCGACACCAAAGAAAGTTTCAACAGAAAACTCCAAATGAACTGGGTCTACCATCAATACAAATACACCGAAAAAATAATGGTAAAGCCAATGTACTGTACTCTTGTCTCTTTATCTCTCATCGCAAACTTATTTTCTCCAAGAAGACCCTAAATTTCATTACCCATATTCATCTCCCCTCGTCCTTTAGCATTGTTTCTAGACCTAGCAAGTCAGAATTTTCACTCTATCATCTGTCCCCAAAAAGCCACTGTCTCCTATGGATTCCACTAAAAACAGAAGCATCGAAACCTATCCAGGTGACGACAATGATCGGCCAGAGAAAGTCAATGATGATCAAACGGTGGGAATAGGCCGATCTTATGACTGCACATTTTGCAAGCGAGGCTTCACCAATGCTCAAGCCCTAGGAGGGCACATGAACATCCATAGGAAAGAGAAGGCCAAGGTCAAGGTAAAGGGCAAGAAGCATAGGGATGATGATAACTCCTTGATCTCCAACAAGGTCGATGAAATTGAAAACTACGCGACTTGTACGTATTTTGCACCGATGGTACGTGAAGAAAGACAGAGTTATAAGGATTTGGGAGCACAAATGGATTATCGAATTTATTTTCCCAGATCAAACCCAAGTCTCCCCCACGTGTACCATCTAAGGAACTTCAGTGCAGGCTCGGAGATTTCAGGTATCCGGGGAGAGGATTTGGGGGTGAATTTGAGCCTGTGTATCGGGCCCCCACTTGTGGAAGATAATGAATCGAAGAAAGGACAGGGAAAGGGGCCTAGGAGTGGGAATGAAGTTGATTTAGAACTACGGCTAGGTCACAGCCCGTGATCAGAACGTTTCCTAGATGCAACTATATATACATATATATTGTGGTGCAAATTAAATATTTAGATTCTTTGATTTATTGGCTATGATGTTGTTCTGATGATGATTTGTACTTCATGTATGTGCCTATAAAATAGGCTTGAACTGCTGCAGAAGCAATCAGAGGTTAATATTCTGCAGGGGATTCTAAGGAATGACCCGTGGACAGTTCAATTTTAGAGCTTGGTCAAGGTACTTTTTTGCTCTGTAGTTGCAGTGTTCTTACTGGAAATTAGGTAGGATACGAACCATGGTTTAGTTGAAGTTCCTTGCTTGAACTAAGACCAGATTGTATCTGACTAAAAACACTTCGACTGCAAAATTGTATTGCTTTTCTTCAACTATATGTTATCCCTTTGAATTCACATGATTAGCTTCTTACCTTAACATCTGCGGATGAAAAGCTAGGGTTTTCATTGAGATAATTATAGTTATTCATAGTTCTATTACCCATACAAATTGCAGCTTTGATTTAGTCTAATATAAGTGAAGCTTATGTTATTCATGTTGCTAAGTTTGATCTGCGCATCTCATATGACAAAATCATAGTTTTCATATTCATTTCAAATTTGATCGCAGTAAACTCTCTAGCACGTGATATTTCACATTGAACTTTCACAGACTTCATTCTGGAAAGGTGAAGGCGCAAATATGCACTCCTTGAACAAAATGCAGCAAGTGCTTGAAAAACCAAGTATTAGAAATTGCAACTTGTAATCTGCTCAATATTAATTTATAAGCTTAAAATTATAGTTATACACAAGCCTCTATTTCAATTTTCAACAATAAGATACTCCTAGGCTTGCAGCACTAAGTTATCTCATTAATTACCTTCAAATTTTCTATCTCCTAGATCTCCTTTTGCATAGATTTCCAGCATATTAGATAGGGTTTGCCTCAAAATATTAAAAAATAAAGAAAAATAAAATATTAATCCAAACAGCGATGCTCGACAGAGACAAGTTGAGCATCATTCATTTCTCGTCAGCAGTACCACTGTAGTCCCAAAGCAAACCCTAATTACATGGGAAACAGAGGTGGATTTCTTTACATTATTTAAGTTTACGCGTAGATATTCCATCGTGTTTGTTCCTGCGTGCATGGGATGGGACTTCATCAAGGCGTGTACATGACACAGCATCAGGAAACAAAATTATGTTCTTCCTTGTTTCCTCAGCGACTTCATGCTAAGAACACGCGTGTTGGCTCCATATGCCTTGACAAGGAAAGCCTTCATGGTGCTAACTGCTAAATGGTTCTCATGCTATATAAAGACAACAGACGTACTCGTACATATCCATGCCTAAAAATATTTGTTAACAAACTAACCCATATACTAGTCATTACCGACGAATTTCCTGTAATTAATTAAAAGACGAGTTGATAAAGCTGAAACGTGAGAATGAGATGACATTCATCTTGGCCAACATCAAAATTCAACGGCAGAAATTAGTGACAGATTTTAAGTGATAAAGAATGGCTTTAGTGATTTTGTGGCGAAATTTAGTGAAGAAATTTAAATTGAGTCTATCATAGATAATACTTAGTTTTTTTTTTTTTTTTTGGTTTAGTGACCAACTCAATGATCGAAAAGTCCATTATAAATGGAGAGTCTGTCACAAATTTTATATATGTGGACTTATATTACTGACAGAATTATTTTTTGTTTTGTGATGAAAATTCCAACACAAAATTAATTTTGTGACAAACTTTATTTCCATCAGGGAACTAATCAGTAACAAGACATATAGTAACAGATTTGTGACCAACTAAAATCCATCATAGAATATGTTTTGTAACAAATTTTATTAATTCTGTGATTGATTTTTCCTTCATTGAAGAGTTATTTTCTTATAGTGTGTAATTGAACAGTCGAAAGCGTTGAAAGTTTGTGATCAAAAGTTTTTCTGTTGTTGATTTTTTATTGTCTTAATTTTTGAGTAATGAGGGAGAGAGTAAGGTTATTGCCATGGGATTTTGCTCCAAATCCAATCTAAATTCAATTTTAATATTAGGATTTGAATAATTCGATTAAAATATTCAATAAATTAAATCCGATTACAAATATCTGTAATTTGAAATAAGTAAATCAGATATAAAATTAAGTAATGCAATCTGTTAATGATCCAAATTTGAATTTTAATATAAGATTTTTTATTGAATTAATAATCTTATTTATATAATATTAATAAATTCAAATTTATGGATATTAAATTGAAAAAAATTAGAAAATTCAGGAATTAATATGATTGATGAAATATAGTTAAAGGATTTAAAAGTATAAAAGTATTATTTTCTTGTCGAATCAGATTTTTTTATCGGATTTTAGATTATTTACAAGATTCAGATATGGTTTAATATACATATATAATAGGATTTTATATAAGATGTGGATATATGAATGGTTAATCATATTCGAATTAGGATTCGGATTTTACTGATTTGATCGAAATCTGATCCATTTACAGTTCTAAATTAGTTATTTCAAAATTTTCAAAACTTTAACCAGGTTCCAAGGTTATATTCAGCCTCTAGCTTCCTCAAGATGTGAAGGTTTATCGACTTCACATCAAAGAGGAAAAAATGATTGTTGGATTTAAGTTTAATAAGAATACTAAGTATTTGAGTAAAAGAGATTTTAATATCATATCTCATATAAGATAACGAGTTTGTAATATTATGATATACAAAATTTTTAAAAATTATTATTAAAAAATTTAAGTTTAAGCACTTTAAAATAATAATTCAAATTTAACAAATTATTATAATCAATAATTTTTTGAATCCTCTCGTTTGGTCAGACCAAAAAGCCCGCGCAGGTAGCAAGATAAGTAAATTATTAATCCTTCTTGTTCACGTGTTGCGGAAGCATCCTTAAATCAACCAAAGTTAATAGGTTTTATGTTGTAAAGCTTTTGCCTTTTGTTTTTTTCTCCTAAATCCCAGATTATATTTGTGAAAACAATAACCATGCCTTCTGCTGATTTTAAATTTTCCTCGGACGGAAAGGGAAAATAGGACTTTGGAATTTACAATTTACATTATATTATGTGCATATTATTATATAAAAATATTTATTTGTTGTCTAGAATTTTGACCAATAAATATTAGGCTTCTTCATATAAGCAATGGCATTAATAAGATTTTGACCTGCTACTTATTTTATAGTATCATTGATATTACTTTCATTACAAGAAATAAGGCTATTACCGGAGCAAATTTACCTATGCAAACTTTTGCATCGGTAGATCTTTATTAAAAAATTACCGTGCATCCAATTTTGAGAGGATTTGGAACGGATGGACTTTCCGTCAATATTTCTGATGCAAAGAAACATCCGTAGCTGTCAAAAGCCATTACTGACGAAAGGCAAACGTAGATGAGATATTAAGAAAACAAAAATTTTTTAATATGAAACTTACCGACACAAGATGTGTGTCAGTAAGTATAAAAAATAGAAAATAAAAAAATTTATTAGTTGCCAATGCCTAATATGGGTCAATAACTTTTACAGTGAAAAAAATAAATTTATTTATTTACCAATACAAATGTACATCCGAGCTCTCTAACACCGATTTCATATTTATAGTTTTTGTTATATATGCGATTGATGGGGTACACGTGTTTTTTATATGCCTTGGATAATTTATATGTGTGTGTGTGTGTGTGTGTTTACAAACCGCCACTTCTCCTTTCTCTTGTGAATTTTTTGTTTTTATTTTTGTATTTTAATGACATTTTGTTTTTATGTTTGTTTCTGCAATACTCTTTTGGATTGTGCCAGATCTCATCATAACCCTTTATTTGTTTGTTTATTAAATTTAGAATAAACAAACTTTTTTACAGAGGGAAGTAACCATTAAACAATTTAAATTAATCATATAAATTTAAATAATATAATTTATCTTAATATTTGAATAAATAAATAAATAAAATTTCAAAATGATAGCAACCGTATCCATATGTAACAACTTTGTGGCCTCAGAGATTTGCTGCCCAACATTGAACAACTTGATATATTAATATGAACTTGGGATGTTTATTTTTTTATTTTTTTAAATAATAAAAATTCTGAAATTTGAGTAAGCCAAAATTCCATTTGTTCAGGGAGTGTGGTAGATCGGTGATGGGGATTCTTGGGACGCATAAACCAAGGGTGCAACTTCCATTGGCACCGTAGTTTCTACTTTGTAGAGGAGAAACATCCCAAAAATCCCATCAAAGATCTATTAACTACAATTTGGTACTCTTAATTCCCTCTTTCTCATTGGAAGAGATAAAATCCAGAAAGTCTGAAATTGCATTGTATTGCTTCAAACTTTTAACTTAATTTTCAAACAAGGTGAGAGAGGAAATTGAACTCCCTCCATTAACGTGTTTTTACATGAGTGTTTTATTTTAAAATTAGAAGTCAAAGAAACAAAAGATTCATTTTAGATGTGAGAAATTTAGATAGAGTAAAATTGAGAAACTTATTTAATAATGATTCACATGTCCGGTTGGAAAAGTCAAATTTTATTTTTTATACTACTATAAAAAATTAAATTAAAAAAATCAAATACTAGACGTGGTTGTGTCTCTCTCCATTCCTTGACCATGGGGTCAGTTTTGATCTAACACCCATATGAACTCTGATCAAAAGGGAAAAGTATGGTACTTTCTATATTAATATTATAATTTTTTTATTTATAAAATTAGGGCGTTTAAAATTTATTAGCTAAAATATGATGATTTTGATAGCGTTAAAAAGTTAATCTTTGCAGAATTAACTTGATAATGTAATTTTTTAAATGAAGCAAAAAATAAAGCGTGAAATCGATTATTGAAAAAATAACTTTTCTAAGGGAAGTCATGGTCGGTTTAGCTCGGTTCATACTTTTTTCTTCTTAGAAGTAGCTAGCTGAAAGAGGCTAATGACACAATCACAGTGCCAAGGGGATAACTTAATTTTATGGCAAGTTAGG